CTCTATAAAACACTCCTTGAGAAACCTGTGAAAATAGGTTCATTCTCTAAATAGATACACCTCATTAGCCGCAGCGTTTGTCTCGAGTTCTCTTTTCTCCCCATTCACAACAGGCGGATCAAGTTTCGGCTCGCGAGTCCTTTTCTTCAGCAGTGTAGCCAGAACCTGCAATGATAATGAAGACGTTATGAACACAACCCAAGTAAATAACGAGCATACTCTTCTTTGCTCTCCATTGACTACTCGCCAAACAACAACACGTTCATTAATCTTCACATCGTCCATACGCGTTGTTGTTCGCTCAAACTCATTCACAGTAGAAATTTTGGTTTCATTCATACTGAAAAGTTAAAAAAAAGAATAAGTTTTGGAGTGAAAAGCTAAGAATAAGGAGCCAAAATGGAAAAGCGGACAGATATTGTTGGGACTTCCAGTTCAATGATAACTTGGTGAAAATGGTAGAAAAAACATTTATGTGTAATAATTAATTTCACAAAAGAAAGTAGACGCATGAATTTTTTCTACAACAAATGATACAAAACAAACAACGATTAATACGAGACACAAGGGCTATTTTATGTATTTGTCCATAAACTTCCGGTGAAACTCCGAACGGATTGCGTCATTAATAAATGTTGATTCCTTTTTCCTTTCATCAATACCTGAAATGGAGACTCAAGCAAAGCATAAAATTGCGATGATCTTTTTCGACATCAAACCATACTCCAACCCAAAAAAATGAGATGTCAACCATACTCCAACCCAAAAAAAATGAGATAAAATTACCCTTAGCACAATTTTTGAAGACAACATCATCGTCCCATCGCCGCTTAACCTTGAAATCACTACCATTCGCTGTTGAGGATACAGGCTCATTCAAGTTCAGCAGAGGATTTCCGGCCAAGATATTTTCCATTCGAATTTTCTCCTTAAAAAAACATGGCGTCACGTAATTCAACAGGCAAAAGTTTTTAAGAGGCCGAGTTCATAGATAAAAACGAGCAGATATCTGCAGCATTTTTGTACAAAATTTCTCAATGTGACGATCGTTGTTACCCAAGAGGTTAAAACTCCCAGAGTATTAAACATTATTGAAACAAGGGTGGATGAGGCTGAATCTGTCTCCAGAAAACAGCTGGACGCTCTCTAACGTAAGAATAGAAGGAAAATGGTTTACACCAAACAGCGCAGAATCATACTTCAGTATAATTTAGAACTTAGACAAGCCTATTCCGAGAAAGCTTTGCATAAGCAAAACTCATTTAAGTGAGGTCCAAATACATCCAAAAATGGACTTACTCGTAATTCAGAAAGCTATAGATGAATAAATGAGAGAGCCAAATTTGGTTTGAATTACCTCTTGTTTCCTTTCCTCTTCTTCCTTCGCAGCCTTTTCCGCTGCACGCTCTTTCTTTATCCTTTCGAGCTCAGCCATAAGAGCAGCAGTGTCGTCCTCATCAGAATCGTCATCCGAAGAATCAGGCTAAACTTGTTTTTGAAGCACAAAACTCGATATTCTTTGGTGAAAAATTAAACAATACCACAGTAATGTTTATTGAACCTCCGCTTAACAAGAATAATCCTTACTTCATAAGAATCGGCCGGTCGAGAGTGCAGCACGGTTGCATTGCACCGAAGATCGATGCCAGCCGAAGTTTAGCTCAGCTTCTATCTATGTGCGCTTTCTACGAAGTTTCACTTAATTCCCTTCTTTGCGCAACTTACGTTTTTTGGAGTCGGTTCTTTGTGGAGCAAGTGTGCCAACGAGGTTTGTTGCCACAAAAGGAAGAGAATGAGATTTTCAGTCATACTTATCCGATCACGATGTAGGTTCTCATATACTTCAATTTAACATCTTTACTGCAAAGTTTCATCGTCATACTGACTCCTTAGCCATAAAATCAGTATTTCAATCCATTTTCACCATTTCAAACTTCTATTTAGATTTCAAATTATTTGACTTGAAAAGTTTCAAAAAATTTTCTTCTAAGAAAATCAGAAAGTACTAAAGGTAAAGTAGATTTGCAGTTCAAATACCTTCACTAATGGGAGGTTCGAGTAAGGGGCTGAGATTTTCCCTCTTTGGCCCTGCACCTCGCTGGCGCATTTGTTCAGTAACAAATTCGATCTTGAATGCTTAACGTTTACAAAAGGGAATCAAACAACTCCAGTAAAGAAATGCAGCATAGCTAGAAGCTGACCTAGAGTCGCTGAAAGCGATATTTACTACAATGCAACCTGCCGAACCCCATCAGATGATTTTTATGAAGTAAGGAGTATCCAAAATAAGAAGGCCCTTTCAATTAGCAATAAATTAGAGTGGTTCAAGTGGGATAAAAAGCCCTAAGGTAAATCCGTCTCGAGATCTACCTCATCAAGGGGTTCATCGGCATCTACTCCTGCGTGTGTGATTTCTTCTAGCCTCGCTCTTTTGCTGCTTGAACCTGAGGCACCGGATTCACGATTGCGTTTTTCGCGAGTTGCCCTTTCCTTATCTTCAAGTTCTCGTCTTAGATCCTAAGCAACACAATTAGCTACAGTGACTAAAAACTATACACATCGAACATACTCTTCTTCTTAGGTCTTCCTCGGTTCCTTGACCTGTTTGCCGATATTTCAGCTTCGTATGCGACGGCATATCTTTCGAGGAGTACTGCTGCGACAGTTTCGAGAGATCCCCCTCTGTCCTGCCCGTACCTCCACGGGCAGGATGGAATGTCGGTCGATGTGCTGTGGTCATCTAAAATTGACTTTTTTCAGAAAGGAAGTGTAAGATGGAGACGGAAATTTAAACGGATAAAAACTCTAATGTTTTCGACATTTTCCTTTTTTAGACTCAGGTATCTCTGCTATTGATTCTGACTACTGAGAATGTTAAAATCGCATTAGGAAAGGAAAAACAAATTGTAAAAGGCTGGCCATAAGGCTATTTAGGAATGGATGGGATTTCAACTATCTCATGATGCATTTGGAATAGAATCTTAGCTTTTGTCTTCATTGAAAAGTCAAGAGTGATGATGTTCATTGTGTTCAATATCATATTCTAATTGTCCTAATATAATAGTATTATACGGAAGGTAAGTTATCACATATAAAAAATTTAAATAGATAACTAAGTAAATAAATAAATAAACATATGTGTATGCACGTCTTTGACTAAAGGAGTTGATTGATGAAAATGCTTTCTTAGAACAAGAAAAATGACTAAGGCTACATCTAGCTTGATCCAAAATGTGACGTTATAATAAATTGCAAGTTAAAAAGTTCCCAAAAAGAATATAAATGCTAAGGCTTCCAAGTAGATTAACAAAATTTACATCTCAATCGGCAAGCAAACATTCAAGAGCTTCTTAGCGAAGCAAGAAAACCCACAATAAACATCAATTTCTACTATGCTGGATGGCTTATTCCTCTCTCTTTTATGAAACAAAAAAAAAAACGCGTAACAACTGCTCATGAAGTAAAAGCCGGCCATGAGAGATTGCGTCGTTGAGAAACAAGCAATCCAATCCAAAAAAAACGTCAGCTGAAATTCGCGAAAATACGAATCAAACTCAGGACGGCTCATCCAGCTAGCGGCCGGCGCTCGAATCGCAATGACCGCGTAGGCGGAGATATTCAGAGAAGTAGGCCTTGTATAGAGCATGTTGTTCATGGAAACGCAGACTACATTTTCGTTAGGGACGTATGAAACAGTGCAAACGGAGCGCGATATTCTAATTAAATTGTCCGGACCTTTGCCACGATTGGTCGAGCCAGCGCATTCCTTACATTGTGCGTATTATCCTTTCCTATCCCATATTTTTTCGTTTTTCGTAGTTAAATATGATTTAAATGAGAAAGCGAAGTTTTTTGGTGAAATTACCGAGAAATTACGAAAGAACTCAAAATTCCATTGTCTTATGTTCTGTTACAGTCTTTCTTCCGTAAATGCTTTATTTGTATCTCATTTTTACCTAAATTTCATTAACATTTTAAAAATCTTGTGTATATTTGCGATTGCATCCATAATAATTATACCATTGTGTTCCGCTCAGTGTTTCATTTGCTCAAGCAAAAAGTCATTACAAGATTAACAATCTTAATCTTGTAATGACTTTTTGATGCTCTATTGGATGGAGTGTTAGCACCAGCGAGTTCCGTCGGGTGCATGGACAACGTGCGTGTTCATCGGGGCTTATTGTAATTTTTCTTACACCGTTATGTTGTGTTGGTGACAACCTTTCCCTGCAATCGCGAACTATCAACGTTTATTCATGAAATATCGTTACTTTGCATGGCTTACATACCAACACTTTT